TCGTCCAAGCAGTCACTGCAGAGTCGGTAACGACTGAGCGCAGATTAAAAAAAAAAAAATTTTAACAGAGGGTGTAAACTGAAAAAGAATCCTCTCAGGCAGCACTAGTTATATTAAAGCACGGGTTCTTAAATTGAGCAACACCACAATCTCTGAAAAAAATAAGTTTGTGCAGCACCTCAAGAATAAATCTAATGATTTCACTAGGATTAGTATTGGGTAAGAAACAAATATACCACTTCCTAAAATACACAGAATTTTTATCTTACTCTCTTGACTTAGGCTTACTTTTATCAGTGCTACCCACAGACTGATCTTTAGATTTTTTTTCTTATACCCAACAAAACCTTTTGCATTTTTAAAACCAGAAATGTAAAATAATGAATAAAAATGTATACTCATGTATGCTTCCATAGGCACTCTAAAAAAAATGGGTATACTACTACATACCACACTGAAAGTCACTAGCCACTAGTGGGAAACTGTCATTCATAACACACTGTGCATCCCATAGGTTTAGCTACTCACAAACATGATTGGGCTTGTGCAGGCAAAATGGGGAACAAAGACTGCAGCACGTTTTGACAGTGTTCCCACTTTGCTAGGGTCAACCCACTGTGGGCTTATGTGGGCTAAGCAGGAGCAGGTTTTGACACTACTCCCACTTCTTACCCAGGCAAAATTGGCACACTGTTAAGATTTGCCCAGAGCTTGTGCAGGCAAAATGGGAGTAAGTTTTCACAGCACTCCTACTTTGCCCATTGAACTCTGATTAGCTTTACAAAAAAAATAACAACTCCTCAATTTAAAGTTGCTTGAGGGTTGACCTACAGATTGAGAACCCCTGAATTAAATCTTAGTAGAAGAAAGACAAAGAATAATTTATTCTGATCATAAAAAGTTGTTTGCAAACAACATACTTACTTTAAATCATCAATTACTTTAGCCTGTTCATTCAGCTCTCTGATATCAACTAAGCGCTTCACATACTTTCTTCCTCTTTGCTCTCCAGTCTGATTATTAGATGGCCCCTGCCTCCGATAGTCAGCATTCTCCTATTTAAAAATAAGGACAGCATTTATTTCATTCCCAAGCAGCTTTAATGACTAAGATGTAGACAGAACGATTTTGGCATCACCAATCAAAATAGCATGCAAAATCAGTTTAAGAAGTCAGCTGATTCTTGATTTGCTAATGACCCATATATTCACCATTTGTTTAAAGAGATACTATACATGTTACATACATGTCCCCATGAGCAAGACCTGCCCACTTTTAAGTGTGAGCTGTTAGAATAAGCCGTATCACTTGATGCTGATCCCACCAGATATTCTACTGGAACAGAGTAACGATGGCTTTTGGGACTCAAACCCAAGAGATGATTTACAATCCGCTGCCCAAAAGTGAGCTTGTATGTATCTCCACATAAAGGACCACCATCTGATCTCTAGATGATAATAAATAGCAACATTAATACTTCAGGAAATGAAACTTCCATTTTTCTTATTGTCTGGCCCTTCTCTGTCTATACTATCCTTTCAAACACCTTCATTAGACTTGATTCAGGCATCGCCTAAATAGGCTACTATCTATTCCCTAACTACAGGCTGTCAGTGTGACCTGTTTTCGATCTTCTCTTTGGTGATCATAGCTATTATTTGTTATAACTGAAATGGTCAATCAACTTGAATTTATACTAGCCTGGATAAGCATACTGAACTGATTTCAATTAAGTTTGGTTCACAATGCTTATTTTTCACCAGATAATTACCGTAAATCTAGTTCTAGAGATCCAGGGACATTAGATTGTTTTTCCTTAAATATCAGTTCACATTTTGAAGCTAATAAGAATTTCCGCAGCTTTGTGAGATGGTGTATGGGAAGCTACTACACATAAAGAATTCTCTTTGGATAATGCAAGTTACCAGCAAGAAAGCAAGTCCTTTGTTTTTTGGCTCACAAATAAAACTTCAGCACTGTTAAATATAACTAGCACTTTAGTGATTAACACTATTCTATAATAATACATATATAGAAGAAAAAGTTACAATGATACCCTAAAGTCTGCATATTTATGCATTATTGCTGAGTTGCATAATATATTACTTAT